CATCAAGAGCTCACAACATTAAAGGTAGTTCTAGTGTGTATGTAAATTTTCATTTTTTACTGTAAATTTCATTTCCTTTTTGTTAAATTTTAATGTCCTTTTTGTTTATAAAGTGTTTATAGATTAAACAGTACTGTATATAAGCACGTGCTGTCTATAAGAAAGGTTGAAACAGGGAATCATATGGAAGACTGGGCTGGATTAATTCAGTTTACATTATTTCTAATGGCAAAAATGATTCAGTTTTCAAACAAATTGCTTCTCGAACAGCCTTCTGAAACATATTAAGTTTAGAACCGAGGTCCCACTGTGCTCTCCAACCCTTGCTGGGCAGCGGGCAGGGCGGAAAAGCGGCAGAGGCATCCCCTCAGCGAGGCTTCGGCTTCGCTAGCAGGACGATCTCACGCTGTTTCTGCAAACATACCCAGGGAAGGCTGCGGGATGGCATGAAATGGAAGGACACGCAGCCAAAAAGGACAGCCAGGGACCACGAGGAGGGAAAAGCCAGAGTGGCAGGAAGGTCAAAGGCAGGAGTGACGGAGCTGGCAAGCTGCTCCGGAGGCTGCTCTCCTCTCAGCATCTTTCCTCCCGGGCGACCAGGGAGACGGGCTCCCTCCTGAAAGGCAAAGCCCACTGCCCGCGGGGGGTGGGGGGTGGGGGGGCCCACTGAGCATTCACCAGGGGACTGGCCCCGCCCACTTTCCAGCAGCTGGGCGCTGAGAGCAGAAAGCCGGCCACAGCTCTGCACCCACATCAATCCAGCTGCACTGACACAAGGGCCTGCTGCACTCCCCAGCTGGCCAGAAGGCCAGCCCCTCCTGTCTCCCAGTGGGAGCAGCACTTGCTCTCCCAGGGGGAATTACCAGACTCTCTGGGAGGCTTTATTTACATTTAATATGCACATAAAATCACCTTCTTTTCAAAGGGTTAAAAAATGGTTCACAGGATGCAACCTCTGCATACTCATCAGATGAGCTGTGATGGAGGAGATGTTGCCCACTGGTGAGGGCGTGAAGAGGTCATGGCACCATGACCCGGTGCGCGGGCGCTCCCTGCCACCAGCAATTGCACGACGAGCTGTGAGGCTGAACTCTGAAATTGCTAATATTCTACCATTTGGACCAACAAAGATGGCAGTTTCACCTATTCAACCAATCGATACCCAACAAAATGATACGTATATCACCAAAGGACACGTGCTGCTCCCAGCAGCATCTTTCATAACAGCCCCTGAACAGCAAGTGCCCATCACAGCGGGAGGGATGATGAACCCCGGGCCACCCGCAGGCCCAGCGCAGCGAGGTGCACAGTGGGAAAGGAGGCCATGGTCACTCCGCGGCGCGGCCAGGCACACGGACACAGCGGCGCTGGCACAGAGACTGCGGGGGAAGTTCCATGGAAGAGCCCATCATGCCCTATGCTGTGAAGCGGAATATGACGCACACCCACAAAGCCCCCGCACCCTGGGACGGCCCCCGCCTGACTTCCCACGGCTGGTTACATGGATATGTTCCGTTTGTAAAAATTTATCAAGTTCTACATGCTTTTTAAATATGTGATTTCCGGTATATTTAAATCAATAAAAAGTAAAAGAAAAGGCTGAACTTTTTATTCTTTTGTCTACCCCACGACAGAAGCCAAGCACCCACCGCTCTGAACGCTGCCTGCGCTTCTCCGGTTAGCCAGCAGAGCGACGATGGGAGTTCTCAGGGAGCTTCAGAACCTGTGCAGGAAGGACTCTGCCCCGTCAGGTTACCAAGCCCACTTGGACGTCTCCTGACCTAAAGTCCCTTGCGTTTTCTCAGCTGGACCCTCGAGGTCCCATCCGGCGCCCTGCTCCCAGGCCAGCAGGGGGCGTCCTCAGAGCATGGGTGTGGGTCCCAGGGCTGCTCCGGACCATCTCACAGAGCAGGGCTGGGAGTACACAGGCAGGAAAGGCAGC